GATCAATGGTAAAAGCAAAAATATGTAGATATTAATATCTTTTTTTCAGGACTTGCTCAGGTTCCAAAAATTTTACTGCTTAATTATGATATTATAAAGTACCAATATGCCAAATTTCATTAAATTCTGAACGTCAATTCTAAAAGCGGTAGTACTACCTTAGAAAAGAAAAAAAAATTTTTTTTCAAATTTTTTTTTAAATTTTCAAAAAATATATTTTTTTGATTTTTTTTTTGATAATTAATCTTCAAAAAACACAAAATTGAGTAAAAAGTAAAAAAAAGTGAAGTTATTGATTTAATAAAAATAATCTTTTTAAAAAAAAGATTAAGTTAAGTTTAAGGAACAAAAACCTTGTACCCTTAATTTTTTCGAAATTTCAACCGAATGGTCCAGAAAAACCGCTGAACCGATCGATCTAAAAATTTAGGGGGTTCTTCGGGGTACATCTGACCAAAGCCTTCCTCCCAATATTGACAAAGATACAGTCGATTAACCAAAAAAAGGGAAAATGGCATTTTTCTGCTCTTTTTTACGTTAACGTTACAGGTGGAAAAAATTTTTTTTTAAATTAACCATCACAGATTTTTGTAGAAAATTTTCTGCAGAAAACGAAACCCTTTGTCCGCTTGCTGAGCGACCAGTAGTTCCAGAGATATCGGCAGTTGAGTGAAAAAGGATCCTTTTGCATTCAAAATTCGATTTCTCGGACAAAGGGTCGTATCTGAGTCCCGCAAAAAGCAAATTGAAGCTAAATAAGCAGGCTATGCGACCTATGCATTGGTCTAGCTCGAAAAAATTTTTCCATGCCCGTAGAGCGAAAAAAAAAAATGTAAAAAATTTGGAAATTTTCTTCGTGCTTTATCCAAGGATTGCATGGCTACCAGTGCTCCGAAAAATTTTTAACCAAAAAATCTGAAAACTAGAGACTTCAAGCTTCAACAGCTTTGTTTTTTTATTCCCTGTTCGACCATTTTCCACTGAAATACAGCCTGTTGAAAATCGCCAAAAAATTTAGAAAATTTTTTTGTTCCCTTAATTTTTGCGAGAAGTGTATCTACATATTTTTGCTTTTACCATTGATCCTTATGGAGAATCACAGACTTTATTTTATTTCACAAAACTGGACGTTCAGATTCGTATAAAAATCAAGACAACGAGAGAAAATAACATCTAGAACATATTTAATAATAATCAGTATGGTTTCCAAGAATATGAGAATATTTATTAATAAAAAACATTCAAAATTTATCTCTGTCTCTCTTTCTCCAACGTGATTTAGTATAGGGAAATCTACTACGTTAATCAAATAAGGTTAGGTTTTATGATTTGACTCTGGTGGTAACGGTAGTACTACCTTAACAGGGGCTGTATTTGGGTATTTCCTGAGATATTTTGGGGGGAGACGATGTATTTGATTTTCATAGAATTTTTTAACAGAAGCTTAGTTTGGGCGTTTCCGGTGAAAATTCAAAATTTGGCCGAAAGTGCCCAATTAAATCTCCTGGCAAAAATCCTATGAATAATCAAATACCTAGTCTCCCCCCAAAATATCTCAGGAAATGCCCAAACACAGCCCCTGTTAAAAGCGGAACTCAAAATTCCAATTTTAAAAGGTCCTCCACGGGAGTTACATTTTGGCACACCCTAATATATATATATATTCACAAGGCATGAAATAAAAAAGTTCAATAAATAAAAAAAAATTTCCTCACAGCCGGTCCCTACCATTGCAGTTTTATATTTCTTTCCTACGCAAAGAAGAATTTTGAAAAAAAACGCTCTGCTACGTAATAGATTTTTTAATTACCTATTTCGTAACAGAGCATTTTTTTCGAAATTCTCATTTGTTTACAAGAAAAACATAAAACTACAATAGCTTTATAATTATGAGTGCAACAAGGATAGTACCGATTTTTGTAGTGAGTGCGACACGAGAAAAAGAGGGAATCAGCTGTTAAGTACTTGAACAATATTGAAAAAATAATAATTTTAAACTATTTTTATACAAACAATAAATAAATTAATTAATCGAAAACTAATAGGATTAAAATAATTTTCAAATAAAAATAAATTAATACAATTACGCATGTTTAGCAATTAAAAAAAAATATTTTTAATTGTATTTTTAAAAGAATGTATAAATCGTTAGAATACGCCTCTTTGACTCTACCGTTTTTTTTTTAATTTTTAGGCTAAAAATAAGCTTTTTAATGAATTGTTTAGAAAAAAAATTTATAGGCCCTTTTAGCTTTAGGTCATAAAATTTTTAAATTCCTAGAGCTAAAAGGGCGCACAATTAGAGACATACGCCCTTTTAACTTTATGAAATCAATGCTTCATTTTTAGGCGAAGAATATGTCAACCAGTCGATTGGTGATAAAAAAAAATTATAGGCCCTTCTAGCTTTGCAAAGCTAAAAGGGCGTATATTTTGCTATGCGCCCTTTTACCTTTTGGCACGCGATATAACAAATATGCCGAAATATAACAAATATTTCTGCCAATTGTAAATTCATATAGTCACTTTATCAAAATTAACATTAATTTAAAATGTAAAAAATTATTTATTAATATTTATTTTATACAAAAACGCCAATCGGCTATTTACATTATTATAATTATTGTTAATATAATATAATATTGCTGATTATAATGTTAAAATAATTTTTTTATAGAAATTTTGAACATTGACAATTACACGAATTGAATTTCTGATGCTATTATGTTTATAGAGTCCTTCAAATAATAATTGGACACTGTTATGCATTAGTGTGTTAAGTATTATGGGAATCCTATGTAATTAACACACTCATGCATAACAAGGTTCAATTTAGATCACAAATTATGTATCTACCTTATATACGTATTTTTTCACTATAAAATTTTTAACTGTCTTCGGTTTATTTTTCTAGACATAACGCATTATTAATGAAATTTGTGAATTATTAATCAAATTTATAATAATAAAAGTTTCAATTTAAAAATAAGTATCCATTCATAAATAACAAGTTATGTCAAGCATACCTAACGTATAATGATTTAATTATAATAAATTATATATCATTTTCATTCAATACTTATAGAAAAATGGGAAAATCATTCCGACATTGAAAAAATTAAAGGGGTTCAAGGAAATAAACATGGAATGAAAACTGATCAAGAGAGTGATTTTTCTTCATCCGAAAATTCCGAAAACGATGAAAAATCCCAAAGTAAACACCACTATGAAGATGATACCGATGAAGATACTAATGAAGAATCCGCAAAGTTATCTGTTGTTAAGAATAAATTCGATGTATTAGCTTCTTATTCATAATTTTTTATGCATAGTAAAGTCCTTTTAATCTAGCTTATCATTGTTACACAGTTTATGCATTACACTTTGAATAAATAGTTTGTTAAATACCAAATTCTTGAAACTTGAAAATTAATCAAAAAACAATTCTCTTTACAGAAGCTTTTGGAAAAAAAGTTTACTAATTTATGAATTTATTATTATTCTGTAAGTAAAAGTTTTAAAGGTCTAGTTATTGCACATGTATCAAATAAGACAATTATATCTAATGGATGTCAAATGAAATTAATTCAAATAAAAAAGCAACATTTTCCAAAAGATTGCATAAATAAACACACGTATACTTAGTTATTGAATGTTAAATATGATGTCACTAATTTATGTCAGTATTAGATACTTTCGTGTATTTTTTTTAAGAAATTTGTTCGATTTGACTTAAAGCGGTCTGATATGTATATCTCAAAAAAAGGTAATATTGAAAAATTGCATGCAAGAAAAGTCTTGACTTTTGGAATTCTAGTTCTGAAATAAATCATTTTTATTTAATGTTAAAAATTGACGTGTCGAGAGTAAAGCATTACTTCAATCGCTTTGGGCATGAGACGTGTGCTAAAGTTCCGCGCGGCAGCGGCCGGCGCACTAATACTAGAGCAGGTAAAACCGAAAAAATAATTTTTTTTGAGCGTGAAATATTAATTTAAAAATCTGAAAAAAAACCATCGTACAATCTAAACTCTTGAAGGAACCAAGTTCCGTTGAAGGAAAGTTTTTATTTTTCTGGTGCATTGTTATTATAGAAAATAGCATAAAAGTTTTATCATTAGCTCTAAAAATCGAATTCTTCTTGGGACCCTTTTTACATATGTTGTGAAGAAGGTGACTTAATTTTGTACTGTTGGAGTATTTTTATTATTATTAATTATTTGAGAATAACTAGGAACAATTATTTTGGTTATTATTATCTGTGCTGTACAATTTGCCGACTAAACCGGCCATAAAGTTTAACCAGGTTAATCCAAATTAACCGATTAACTAGTTAATCGGTTAAATGAGTTAAACGGTTAACTGCTTAATCAGTTAAATGGTTAATCGGTTAAATAGTAAATTTACATTTTCCTTTATATAAATAAATTATTATTAAATCTTATATTTTTAACATACATATTTACACTAATATTTATTCATTTTATGATTTATGTTTAATTCAAGATAATTATTTATTATGGATATTTATTAGACTGGGCTAAAAAAATCAACTATTTTTTTTAAAGTATATCGAAAATATTATTTGGGATGAAAAGAAAAAAAATATTGTGAGAATTCGAGTCCTTAATATTAATATTGAGAGGTCTATCATCGCAGTTTTTGAATTTTTTTTCCAGAACGGCATTTTGTCTCACAACTCCTCAACCATCGAGGTAAATGAAATTGACTTAGAGACATTTTCTTACGAGAATTTAATCGTCTACAAAAAAAGTCTGAAATCTTTTGTCAGATGAAACGTTTTCTTATAACCACGCCTTGAAAATTGGTATGATTTGACACTTTGATATTTTAACTTTGGAATTTTGTAATTCACTTAAAAATCAGTATCTGGAAAAAATCCAATAAAGGTTCTTAAAGGGAATTTAATCCCCTACAAGAAACATCTCTTATCATTTTTAGCTAAATACACTTTTTTGAAAGTTAGTCAAAGTTAAAAGTTGAAGTCAAAATGAAATTCTTGTTTTTTTCGCTGTAGATTTAATTTTTTTGGGCCCGTTGAAAAATTTGATCTTTTTGTGGATGATAATTTTTATTTTATCAACTAAATTACGAAAAATTTGAAAAAATTATAATATACATTAAATTTATTGATGTTGAAGAGCTATTTTCCTCAGAAAATTGCATTTTTACTGTTCTTTAATCGTTTAAAAAATATGAGTGTGAATTCAGCCGACATCCGACAATTAAAAACTCTAACAATCGATATCTTCATGAAAATATCAATTAGCACTATTTTTCAAAATGATAATGGCATGTATTTACATTGTCTGTAAGAGCATTTTTTCAAAATTTATTAAATTCGTTATTTAAGCTGCAATTTTAAAATTAAATTTTTGTTTAAAAATATTGGATTTTAACATTTTTAACTTCCCGCTAAGAAAATCGAAGATTTTCAAAAATCGGGAAGTTTTTGTTTTCACCCCGTTTTGCAAAAATCGAGTTTTCATCAGATCTCGACGTTTGAAGGTCACAGGAAGCTTCCCTGACTATCTCCGCGAGGTTGTCACTGTGTGTATGTGTGTGTGTGTGTGTGTGTGTGTGTGTGTGTGTGTGTGTACTTTTGAACGACT